TGAAAAACTTTTCCAAACCCTATCATCTCCATATTTTTTTTCTTTTCAACAAACCAAAAACCAAACTCACTGCTGTTGAGTTGATTCTGACTCATAGTGACCCCTCCTTGGGCTTCCAAGGTGATATCTCTATGGAGATGTAATCCATACAGCAGACTGTCATCTTCAATCTTCATCAATAAGTGCTTCAAGTCGTACTAACTTTTAGCAAGCAAAGTTGTGTCATCAGTGTATCGTAGGTTGTTAATGATTCTTCCTCCAATCTTGATGCCATATTCTTCTTCATATAGTCCAGCTTTTCTGATTATTTGTTCACCATATAGATTGAATAAGTATGATGAAATGATACAACCCTGACACACTCCCTTCTTGATTTTAAACCATGCAGTGTTCCCTTTTTCTGTTTGAATGACAGCCTCCTGCTCTATCTACAGGTTTCTCCTGAGTACAATTAAGTGTTCTGGAATTCCCATTCTTCTCAATATTATCCATGATTTTTTTATGATCTACACAATCAAATTCTTTTGCATAGTCAATAAAACACAAGTAAACATCTTTCTGGTATTCTTTGCTTTTAGGCAAGATCCATTGGACATCAGCAATGATCATTATATGTCCTCTTCTGAATCCAGCTTGCATTTCTGGAAGTTCTCTGTCAATATACTGCTGGAACTATTTTTGAATTTTCTTCAGTAAGATTTTATTTATGTGTGATATCAATGATATTGTTCAATAATTTCCACATGCTGTGTGATCACTTTTCTTTGGAATGGGTACAAATATGGATCTCTTCCAGTCAGTTGGCCAAATCTCCTGGCATAGCCAAGTGAGTGCCTCCATTGCAGCATCTGTTTGTTGAAACATCTCAGTGGATATTCCATCAATTTCTGGAGCCTTGTTTTTTGTCACTTCCTTCAGTGCAGCTTTGACTTCTTCCTTCAATACCATTGGTTCTTAATCACATGCCACCTCCTGAAATGGATGAACATTGACCAATTCTTCTTGGAACAGTGACTTTCTATATTCCTTCCATCTTCTTTTGATGTTTCCTGCATCATTCAATATATTGCCCATAACAAACAACAACAAAAAAAAAACCTCACTGCCATCAAGTCAGATCCGACTCATAGAAACACCTTGTTGGTTTCCAGGGTGGTATCACTATGGAAGTAGATTGCATCTTCCTTATGAGGAGCGGCTGGTAGGTTTCAACTGCCAGCCTTCTGGTTAACAGTCAAATGCCTTCGGCACTATGTTACCAGAGCTCCCATAGAGTCTTTCAATGTGGTAACCCGAAGCTTAAATTTTTTATTCGATTCTTTCAGCTTGAGAAATGCCAAGCATATTTTTCCCTTTTGGTTTTCCAATTCTAGGTCTTTGCATATTTCATTATAGTAATTGGCTTTTTCTTCTTGAGCTGTTCTTTGAAATGTTCTGTTCAGCTCTTTTATCTTGTCATTTTTTTTTTCCATTTGCTCTAGCTACTCTCTTATACAGTCTGCAATATAGATTATACCTCAATATAAAGAAAACAAAAATCCTCACAAACTGGACCAATAAGCAGCATAACGATAAATGGAGAAAATATTGAAGTTGTCAAGACTTCATATTACTTGGTTCCAAATCATTGCCAATGGAAGCAGCAGTCAAGATATCAGATGATATATAGCATTAGGTAAACTGTCTTCAAAAGACCTCTTTCAAGTGCTGAAGAGACCTCTTTCAAGTGCTGAAGAAAGGACTAAGATCCGCCTAACACAAGCCATGGTATTTTCAAAAACCTCATATACAAGTGAGAGCTGGACAATGAATAAAGAAGACTGAAGAAGAGTTGATGCTTCTGAGTTGTGGTACTGGTGAAGAATGCTGAAAATATCATGGACTGCTAAAAGAATTAACAAACTGTTCTGGAAGAAGTGCAGCTGGAATGCTTCTTGAAAGTGAGAATGACCAGACTTCATCCCACATACATTGGTAATTTTGTAAGAAGGAGCCATTCCCTAGAGAAGGATATCATGCTTGGTAAAATGGAGTGTCAATGAAAGAAGGGAAGACTCAACAAGATGGATTGACACAGTGGGTACAATGATAAGTTCAGGTATAGCAGGGATCATGAGCAGGACTGGTCAGTGTTTAATTCTGCTGTACTTAGGGTCATTATGAGCTGGAGACAACTCAATGGTACTTAACAACAACAACATCTCTGTGGAAGTAGATTTCCCAGTCAAATATATATAATTTCCCAATAGCTGAAACAACAAAACTTTACTTACTAATAATATTGCTAAACATTTTATCTTCAGTGTCTTAGTTCCTCAAAAGTAGGTTACATTGTAGGTGTTAATTTCCCCATCACGCACTCAGTCTTAACATAGAACAATGTGTATTCTGGCTTCCATCCTCTATTCAAACCAAAAGAGGTTCTTTGTCTGAACAATTCTGGAACTTCTATAGCACTGATGCTCTTATTAAATACCTTGTGTTTCTTAAACTCAATTTTTTTAAAAAAAAATTACATGAGGAAACAACTCTACATTTTCCTTGTTAACTTTCTGATGACTTTTGTACCCTCACTGGCCAAGAATGGAGAGTATGAAATAGGCAGCTTTTATAGGTGGTTCCAAAAACCCAAACCCATTGCCATTGGATACACATAGAGAATTAGTATACCTGATTTTAACACATACTTTCTGAGGAGTTATACATTTTAAATACTTAGAGCATTTGCACGTATAGTACCTGAAATGTATAATTTTCAAATTGAAGTAAAATTTAAATATCAATTTCCAAATAATAAGTATATCAAATTCAATTTGCAATAAAATGCAATGTACTATATAAGACTTTCAAGGATTTTGTTTATTTTTGTCTGCGATCAACACCCATGGAAGCATTCAGTCAAGAAATGAAATGAAATAATGCACTGGACAAATCTTCTGCAAAGAACACCTTTAAAGTATCCAAAAGCAAATATGTCACTTTGAGGACTAAGTTGCTATGGTAGTTAAGGTTGTGCGTCAACTTGGCTAGGCCTGGTTGAGTAGCTGAGCAGCTGGTGGTAGTTATTGCCCACAATGAAACTGACAATAAACTCCATGATAGTATCTAATACAAGCAGCTGAGCAGTTGCTTTAGGAATGTGGTCTGCTTCCCTATATGAGAAGCAGACTGAATAATCTCTATAGGGAATAGTGTCTAGCTTATGGCATGTTTTAACCCTGCATGTAACCAAGTCATTGTTCAGCAGCCTGCCATGCTCTGTCAATCATGAGACTTTCAATGGACTTGAATCAAGGGTCTGCTGTGTTGTTTGGTAACATTGGGACTGTGCCTATTTACTTGTCTGCAAGAAGAGAAGCCTCTAGCTTCACTGAGACAGGAGGAAGAGGCAGAATTGAAACATAAGGTCCAGGGGCCTTCATTCAATCCCTAGAGCCTAGGACTTTGAACTTGGACATAAAGCCTCCAAAATTATAAGAGAATATATTTCTGTTTTTTCATGGCATCTCATTTGTAGTATATTCCTGTGAGAGCAGCACTAGGTAACCAAAATAGGTGTGCCACAAGAAGTAATGGGATTTTCAATAACCTCATATATGTATGAAAGCAGCATAATTAATAAGGGATAACGAAGAAGAACTGATAAATTAGAATTATGGTGTTGGTGAAGAATATTGAATATAATATGGACTGTCAGAAGGAAGAACAAATCTGTCTTGGAAAATGTACAGCCAGAATGGTACTTTGAAGTAAGGATGGTGAGATGTCATCTCACGTACTTTGAACATATCAGAAGAGACCAACTCTGGATAAGGACATCATGCTTGGTAAACTGGAGAGTCAGTGAAAAGGGAAAACTGTCAATGAGCTAGTTGACACAGCGGCTCCAAGAATGAGCTAAAAAACTGCAATAATTTTGAGAATAGCACAGAACCAGGCAGTGTTTTGTTTTCTTTTGCATAAGATCACTCTGAATTGGAACTGTATGACAGCTATTGATAACAAGAACACTTAAGAGTTAATAAAATAGCTGTCATTGTGGAGTTTCAGCTTTAACTATTATATGGAACTCCTATTTTGAACATGGTCTAAGTAGAACTAGATAGATAAATAGGCAACTGTCATTTAGTTGACTCCCACTCATAGTGACCAGGTGTACAATGGAACTGAACATTATTTGGTCCTCCACTATCTGCACAATCACTGATATGTTTGAACATCTCATTGAGGATCTCCTCACTCTTGCTGGCCATCTACTTCACTAAAGTTGGCATCTTCCTCCAGAGGTTGGTCCCTCCTGATGATGAATCAAATCAGACAATGTTGTCTTAAACACTGAACATGGAACATAGGGTTGACAGTAGGTTTTTCAGTGAAAGTCTATGCAACCACCTTTCAAATGCCTTAGGCACTACACCACCATAGATCCTCCTTGGTACAGATAGAAATAGAAGACTCTTGATCATAACACATAGTAATAAGACTTATAAGTGAATATAATTGAACCAACAAAGAAAACTTGAAATCAAAATTTATTTTTGACAGATGAATCAAAATACAAATATTCATTGTTGTTGTTGTTGTTAAGTGCCGTCGAGTCGGCCCCGACTCATAGCGACCCCTCCTTGGGTTTCCGAGGCAGTATCACTACGGAAGTAGGATTGCCCAACCTTCCTTCCGAGGAGTGGCTGGTGGGTTTGAACCGTCAGCCATCTGGTTAGCAGGCAAGTGTCTTGGAAATTCAAAGGAAGCCATATAGAGAACGCTTGGCCAACAAATTTGGACTTTATGAACATATGTGCAAAGGTTTATATTCATACAAAGCACGATTGAAGAGAAATTGTTTTGCAAGAGCAAAGTAAGATTCTTTCTTTGCTTAATATGAGGCACACGGAATCTGTATTGCTTTATTAGAATATGTAACTTCCCATGCCAAGATTTAATTGAAGTTTAAGTATTTGATGTGGTGGTGGTAAGGTTGACTCTAATAAAAAATTTACCTGTCTTAGGATCAATAGAGAAATAAGGTTGTCCCTGAAGAATGCTGTAAACGACTCTGGCACTGTTCCCATAGGTTGGGTCATCTGCATCTGTGGCCTTGACCTGGAGCACATATGCACCTGCAAAATAAGACAAAGGACTCTAGTATTTTTTTTATTTTTACAGAGCTCAAGGTCATGTCTATAATCTTCCTAATTCCATTTTCTTTTGGAATTGATACCACATGTATGTGATGTAATAGAATAATTTAACTATTAGAGCCAAAATGGTGGGTGATAGTAGAGTTGTCAGTACAAATGACACACATCTTTAGTAACTATTTCCAGTTTCTGGATCATTGACAGAGAAATTTAACATTATAATTTTATTGATTCATACAGAAAGGAAAATGTGGGCACTGAGAACATAAGCTAATCTTACTGTTTTAATTTCATGGTCAGGATGTCAAAAGAGAAACTGAAAAGGCTTAGAAGCTTATTCCATTTTAGAGAAAATTTGCAATTTTAAGATTTTAAAATAACTATGTAACATGAGAAAGCCTTTAATTAAGGAAAGAACCTTTGATTAGTTAAAGCAATGTAACTGATTGCAAATAAAGCTATGAGGAGCACTACCAGATTGGAAGACTGAATTAATCTAAGGGTCCTTTGACACAGGACATCAAAGCCAGTCCACACTAGATGCATCATTTCTTCCCTTACCTTTTCTTTCCCTCCCTCATCTTCTTCTTTCTTTCCTTCCATTCTTCTTTTTTAGAAGACATATTATTTATATACTAGAGTTGATTTAACAAATCTATCTTGGAAGAAGTACAACTGGAAGTGTACTTCTCCTTAGAAGTGAGATTGACCAGACTTCATGTCACCCAGTTTGGTCATGTTGACAGAAGGGACCAGTTCCTGGAGAAGGATATCAGGCTCAGTAACGTAGCAGGTTAGCAAAAAATGAGAAAACTGTCAACAAGATGAATTGAAACAATGGCTGCAACCATGGGCTCGAGCAAAGTAAAGATTGTAAGAATGTGAAGAAGCGGGCAGTATTTCACTCTGTTCTACATAGAGTCACTGTCAGCCAAAGCCAACTCAGTTTCACCTAGCAACAACAACAACTATAAGGGTGATTTAAAGATCGATGGGGAACTGTGGTTAAAGTATTGGGCAGTTAAACAAAATGTTGGTGGTTGGAACCCTCCAATGGCTCTGTGAGAGGAAGATGAGGCAGTCTGCTTTAAAAGATTTACAACCTTGGAAACCCGTTGGGGCAGTTTTATTTTATCCTATAAGATTGATTCACCCACTGCCTCAAGTGGATTCCTACTCATAGTGACCTCCTTAGGATTGCCAAGGCTATACATTTTTACATAAGTAGATTGTTCCATTTTCCTACCATGGAGCAGCTGGTGAATTTGAACATCTGACCTCCTGTTTAGCAGCCAAATGTCTTATATAGGATCAATTGCAGTGTCTTTCTTTTTTTTTTTTTTAGGTGGATTTAGAAGGTGTTATTTTTTTCCCTGAATTTTTGCCATATGAACTCTAAATCATATTTAAGTCATTGTCTAAATTTTAAATGAATAACTTTTCCTATAATTCCCTTCTGTGCTGTCTTGGTTTTCTAGTGCCACTAGCAAGGATTTATTCTCTTACAGTTTAGGAGGCTAGAAGTTCAAATTCAAAGTGCTGGCTCAAGAGACTGAGAGAAAGCTTCAGCTCTGCCTCCTGCTCTAGGACCACCGGAGATGGAGGTTTTACTGACTCACATAGCTATTGACTTCTGAGGGTGTCAAATCCAACCAAGATTGACAGGTAAAATGGCACAGTCCCAAGATTAGCAAGCAACATGACAGCCACTAGTTCAAGTACAAAGATAATCCCAAGATCAGCAGGCAACATGGCAGGCTACTGAGATGAAGACTTGGCCAAACACAGCATTTAGATGTGCCAAAAGCCAGAGACCTTTCATAAAGCCTCACCTTAAATAATAATAGCAGGCCACATACTCTGAAGGCAGCTACTTATCTGGAGGTGTTGGAATCACCTCATGGGGAATAATCATGCCCAGCTGCTCAGGCATTCAAAACCACAGCCCAGCCTAGTTGATACACAGCCTTACTACTACATGTTATTATTGATTTTAGAAACAAGCATGAGCAAAATACCAAAATATGCTAGAGACATAATGGCCATCATGTGGATGATCAGAGAGAAATCACTACTGACCATGAAAAGAGCAAATATATATTCAAAAACTGAACCATTTTCTTATCTAAGAGACATTCAAAGTATCTGCTCAGTTTTGGGAAAGCATGGCTGCTCATTTCCATTCATTTACTCATTCAGGCTTTTCCCATAAGGCAGTTGAAAATTGGACCAAATCCAAAGATATTAAGTAAAATCTAAGATGCTGCAAAAAGACCTCTTTAAAATACTGAAGAGTAAAGATGTCTCTTTGAAGACTGAGGTGTGCCTAACCCAAGCCATAGTAATTTCCATCACCTCATATGCATGTGAAAGCTGGACAACGTATAAGGAAGACCAAAGAAGAATTGATGCTTTTGACTTGGCAAAGAATACTAAAAGTACCATGGACTACCAGAAGAATGAGCAAATTTATCCTGGAAGAAAGACAGCCAGCATGCTCTTGGAAGTGAGAATGGCCAGACTTCATCTCACTTACTTTGGTTACTTTGTCAGAAGGGACTGTTCCCTGGAGAAGGATATCATGCTTGGTAAAGTGGGGGGTCAGCAAAAAAGGGGAAGGCCCTCAATGAGATGGATTGACAGAGGGGCTGCAATGATGGGCTTAAGTATAGCAATGATTGAGAGCTTGGCACAGGACTGAGCAATGTTTCGTTTTGTTCTACACAGAGTCACTATGAGTTGGAGTGCACTGAACAGCACCTAACAAGATGAACCAACCCTTTACCACTACTTTTATTTATTTATTTTTAATTTAAGGAAGTGTTAGGATGGTGGAAAGAATGAGAAATTATAGCTTTTTATATACATTCAACACCAAATCCTATGTTTTAAGTTGATTTGGTGGATTCCAGTTGTATTGACTAATGAAAAAGAATTATATCTACTATTTTGTTACAGTAACCTTTCTCAGGAAAGAACACATCTAGAAGGAAAATAAGTAGACATTGCTAAGATATAAAGAGTAACAATCTATAGGATCCATTATAGCACTGTTAATAATTATTTAGCAAATATTTATGTCTGTGAGGCTGGGTACTTGAATTAGGGATTCAATAAAACTTCCTCTTCCTCTAATGAAATAAACAGTTTATCAAAAATAAATCCCTTTCTCAAAGATTCTTCTTTCAGGGCCCTCATTTGGATCTCCAGTACTGACTTATCATTCATGTATTGTGTAAGCAACTTTCCAAATATTAAATATACAATTTGTAATTGAAAGGCTGTTGGCATTTTTATTGAGCTGGCAAAATGTCTGTAGTTTACAATAAAATAATTGAGGTCGATTATTTGACTTTTATTTGATTTTTCTCATTGATACTAAAAGATATTTTCACACAAAATAGTAGTGATATAGTAGTAGAACTGAACCATAATAATTTTAAAATAAAACAAACTCACTGCCATAAAACTGATTCAAACCCATCATGACCTTTGAGGACAGAGGAGAACTGCCTCATAGAGTTTCCAAGGCTGTAAATCTTTACAGAAGCAGACAGCTCTCCCCCTTGGAGTAGCTGGAGAGTTCCTACCACAGATCTTTTTGATTAGCAGCTGAATGCTTAAACCACTAAGTCACCAAACCTCTATTTTGGCTTAATTGTCATTAATTTCTTAATTATTCAATTAATTATCATTTCAGGCAACAAATATTTAAAAGTTCCTCCAATGCACCAAATACTACTCTTGATGTACAATAGAAAACAATACCCAATTCTCTATTCAGTAAAATGCCACTCCTAGCTTCACAGTTTTTGTATAATATATATTACTTCCATTAGGGAATTAAATAAATAAACTTGCTAGGGAAAATATATATATATATAGGAGCTCTGGTAGCATAGTGCCTAAGGCACTTGACTGCTAACCAGAAGGCTGGCGGTTCAA